CCTCCTCCTCCTTCTTCCTCTAATTCTTCTACTTCTTCTTCTTCCTCTTCCTCCTTCTTCCTCTACTTCTTCTCCTCCTCCTCCTTCTTCTTCTTCCTCCTCCTCCTCCTCCTTCTTCCTCTAATTCTTTTACTTCTTCTTTCTTCCTTCTACTTCTCCTCCTTTCTTTATAAACTGGTAATCCTCAATTTGCAACCACATTTCATGAGAATTTCAGTTGCTAACCAAAGACAGTTGTTAAGTGAATTGTACCTGATTTTTATAGCTATTAAATGAATTTTCTGCCGTTCTTAACTGAATCATGTGGTTGTTACACAAATCTGGCTTCCCTATTGATTTTACTGGTTGGTATTTGGCCGAGAAGGTCACAAATGGCAGTCACATGACCTCCGGGACGTTGTAACCATCATAAATTCATGCACTGGAATTTTATCTAATATCTGGACAACAAACAATCCAAACATACATTGGAGGTTTTCTTTTCCTTTACATTGATAATTGTAAATGAATTTTTGTTTTGTTTTGTAAAACACAAGAAGAAAATCCAAAAGGATGTGAGAAACGCCGCTCAAAAAAGGCAAAAGAGAAATGAATGTTTGGTTGCAATGATTTCTGTTGTAAGCTTCACGTGTAATATTAAATATTTCCTCTTTCTTTCTGCTGAAAGTTACTTTCTCTTCTAAGGGAGGCGTTTTCCCCCACTCCCCTGTGATTTTAAGTAGTCTATGCCAGCCTCAGCAGCTGCTACTCATTCTTTCTTTCTTTTTTTGCATAAACCATGATATTTGGGCTGACAAATCCTTCAACAACTTATAGTCTGCAGCTGCTGGTATATTGGGGACACGTGTGTCCATGGCAAGGTACCAACTAAAAGCAAAGCCCTCTACATACAGAAAGGGGTTGAATTCAGTGTTTTAACTCCATCTTACTCTGCTTCGGATTTCTTTGGGTGGGTAGGAATTTTTATCTCCTTGAAAACGCAGAGGGGAAGATAACTTATTGTGGAAACACAAGCTGAAATATCTTAACACGGTTCTCAATTTCAGGGTATAAAACAACACTTCAATTATTTCACTTCGTAAGCAGTCATAAGCAAAGAAGGTCAGTTTGAGCATTGTAGATTTTGCAGGATTTAACAGATCTACATTCCCCCAACCTTATGTTGGGAGAAATATCCATCTGGGTCAGTTCCAGGCCAGGAGGAAGACCCTGGAAACATGGAGGCTGATCTTGGAAAGATGGTTTAATGATGAAGCAGAACTGCATGGGTTTGAAGTCCTGGGCAACTGACCACGTGGAGTTGAGAGTGAGGGGTATTTATACCTTCTCTTGGGTTTGAACTAGAGCTTCCTGTTCCTGTGCAAGAACATGTATTCTGTTGGCTGTTGTAGGGGTCATAGCTGGCTGTCACAATTACTAACTTAACAACTGCAGTGATTCACTTAACAACTAGGGCAGGAAAGGTCATAAAATGGGTCAAAACTCATTTAACAACCTTCTTGTTCAGCAACAGACATTTTGGGCTCAATTGCAATTGTTAAGTCAAGAACTACCTGTATGTAGTTTCTTAAATAGCAATCCTGCTTTTCTTTATACATGTCCATTTTGTGTGGAATTGACTACGTACCTCTGACCATCAGCTAGTTTGTTCTAACCTAGAGAAATTCTTCATGTTTCCTTAATAATAATTCAATAAAAGAGAAAATGCCCTAGAAACATTTCAAAAGACGAGGAGGGTGGGGAAAATTGAAGAAATGTTTGTGGATTGACTGTGATGCTGTTCCAATTGTATAGTTTAAGTGTATGAATGTCTCTCCTATCATGTGTTATACATCGATTTTTCCAATTATCTGTCTGCTTCTTGATTTTTACTCTTTAAGTTAAATCCCAGCAGAAAACACTAGCAGAAAACTGGTCCCGTGGAGATACTCCAGTCACCATTAAGTCCTACTCCTCAGAATCATTGAGGGAATTTCTACTTCATAGGAATTTATTCATCCATCTCCTTTCTTTGTTCACAGTTAGATAGAGAATGTTAAAAGCCAGGCCTTTGTGGGTTTTTCAAAATCTGGTTTGATCCAGAAAATGTCAGAAATGATGATCTGACATATGACTTATTGAGCCAAAAGGATTGAAAAATGGTCTGTTTGGTTTAGCCATTCTGTTTAATTAATGAAATATGAGGCTACAGCATCTTCAACAGATCCTTGTTCAGCCTTTTTATGAAGGTTTCCACTCAGGAAAAAAAGGAGAGATCTCTACCCCTCTAAGTCAGAATGTCCGGGTTCCAAGTAATGCATCCATAATAATCAGAGCTCCGAAGCAAGTAGTTAGTTTTATTTGTCATATCATATTGGCACAAGCTGGTGATAACGGACTCTGAATATTCCTGCCGTTTTGCCCTAATTAAAAGTAAAAGTTTCCCCCTTTTCCCAAACAGTCAGTCATATGGTCCAATCAAGGTCCCATCCAGTTGTCAGGCGACATTGCTCCTCCTCTCCCCGGCCACCTGTGGTGATGTCCTTGGTTCCTAAGGAGAAAGTATTTCGTTTTGGTTACAAAGCCCCTCTGTTTCCATTCCCTCCTCCCTATCCCTCAGCTCCAGTGTGGCAACACTGAAGCCTCAAGATGGCCTCGGTCAAGTCAGCTTCAGGGTTGACTCAGAAAGGGCTCAGCAAATGCCTCTCAAGTTCATGCGTACTTTAATTTTTATTTTCTACCTTTTAAAGCACTGTCGACCATGGTCTAAAACAGGGGTGTCAAACTGGCAGCCCGCAGGCCGGATGTGTCACGCACAGGCCACGCCCACCCCACGGAAGAGAAAAAAAGTTGCGATATGTCACATGACGGCAATGTGACGCCGTGAGTTTGACATGTCTAAAACAATTCCATGTCTTCCTGCTATTTTTAGATACAAAATCATAGGGTAACCAAACGCCCTCCAAATAGGATTAACATTTGACACAAATCTTAAACTAATGTGAGACTATAAAATTGAGTCTTGCTCTCAAGTCTTTCCCTTTTTCTGATTGACTAATCCCCTTTCAGATATTTTGAAGAATCATACCACATCCATCAGCAGTTTTCTTTGGGCTGTAAACATACACATCTTTCCATAGAAGCAATGCAAGACTTTTTTTTTTTTGCAAGAAGAAATAGAAGATGTGGACAGTGAGGAGTTCAATGGACAGTTAGGTCTATGAAGATTCTTAGTCATCCAGGTCATGGTTGTCCCAGAGGTGCTTTTGCAAAAGGCAATTGGACTTTCTTTGTTTTGCTTGAAGACATTTTGCTTCTCATCCAAAACGTCTTCAAGGAAAAACAAAGAAAGTCCAGTTGCCTTTTGGAAAAGCACTTTTGGGAGTGGACAGTTACGTTCAGTTTTGGTTTTAGGTAAGTATGAAATGAGTTTCACACCTGCATCCAAAGCATTAAATCTAATGATTATCTACTATTCTTATGCAATCGTAGCTCCAAGATCCAATCTGGGTCGGTTATAAGGTTTTTCTTCCAAGCTTTTGGACTCATGCTGCAGCCCATCTTCAGGGAACTTCCCTCTACTGGAATACATGCTTTGCGCTGTTCTATGAGTTGTATTTATGTGATGCCTTCCCATTGGTTGATTGGTGTGTTGAAGGCTGTCAATGGGCTATTATTTCCTTGTGCTGCCAAGCCCTCGGCACCTAAGTACCCAATAAGGTGGCGGTAAATCAGCATTCCTATTGACTGGGAAGAGCCCCGTTCCCCAGGCTGCAATCATTTCCCTGGCTATTTTTGTACTTGCACGGCCAACAATCTTGAGTAGCTGCGAAATTTAATGTATGTCCTATATGTCCAAATAATCATACGCCTTTTTGGCAAAAGGTGGATGTATAAATCTTGTTCTTTCTTCTCTTTTTCCCCCCCATTTTATACTTAACTAAAGGTATTGATCAAAGTTTTGGACAACAACGATAATGGTCCAGAATTTTCCCACCCACACTACGACGTGATGATTTCTGAGGACATCATGCCTGACACCGAGATCCTTCAAGTAGAAGCCATGGACAGAGATGAGAAGCACAAGCTCAGCTACATCATTCACAGCAGCCTCGACTCGATCAGCATGAGAAAATTCAGGATGGATCCCAACACAGGCGTGCTGTATACCGCTGAGCGTTTAGACCACGAAGCCCAAGATAAGCACATCCTGAACATAATGGTAAGCGGAGAATATTAAGCTGTGCGCTCTCGCTCTCTCCAACACAATTGCCAGCCTTAATAGGCGCAGGGCTATAGTCTTTCCGATAAGCAAAACGGCTTTAGATTTGGTTAAGGAGGCAATAATTAGGCTTTATTTTCTTTTCCCCTGCCTTCCACGGCAATGCATTTATTTGCCATGGAGGCTTTGTGAGGTTTAATGCAAACGGAGGATTTTTATCTTGCAAAATGCTTGTACCATCTTGAAGCCGAACATAGTGGGAACGTCATCCTCATCATCTCCCAGTGTCAGGGCCCTTTTATCAGAGGTAACTTTTTTTTTAAAGTGTTTTCTTCAGAATCTTAAACCTTCTTTGGGAAGCTGTTAACAAAGCGATTATCACTTTTTCTTGCTGTGCTCAGCTCTTAAAAGCCAGACGGTCCGCTTTGTTGCAGATTTCTGCCGGGTCTTCGAAAGGCAGAAGATAACTGATTTGCAGGGGCCTAAATTACATGGTAGAAATTGTCCCAGTGTGAAGTGCGTGCAGAGTGTTAATGGAACAATAACCTTTCTTTCCCCACACCACCCCAAAAGATGGTTTTTAACAATTTCCACACTCACGTTGAACTCCATCTCAGGTGCCAAAAGCCCTAAGAAATGTTATTAGCATTATTGAAATTGGATTCACTCAGTGGTGGGATTCAAAAATTTTTTACTACTGGTTCTGCCTTGGTGGGTGTGTCATGGTGAGCATGGCAGAGGAAGGATACTGCAAAATCTCCATTCTCTCCCCACTCCTGGGGGAAGGTTATTGCAAAATCCCCATTTCCTCCCCACCGCATTAATCTGCTTTCCAGCTCCGTTCTCCTGTGCAGGGCAACAAAAGAAGACAGAGCCGATCAGCTGGGACTTGGGATGCAGAGAATAGATGGGGGTGGGGCCAGTCAGAGGTGGTATTTGCCGATTCTCCGAACTACTCAAAATTTCCGCTACCGGTTCTCCAGAACTGGTTAGAACCTGCTGAATACCACCTCTGGATTCACTGTAGTGACTAAAAGACACCTGCCAGTTACAATTTCCCATACAGACAGTCCTCGACGTACAACCAGTGGCTTAGTGATCGCTTGAAGTTAACAATGGCCCTGAAAAAAGGGACTTATGACCATTTTTCACACTTACGACTGTCCCCAAAGTCACATAATCAAGATTTGGATGCTTGGCAGCTGGTTCATATTAATGATGGTTGATGTATCCCAGGGTCATGGGATCACTTTTGTGATTTTTCTGGCAAGCAAAGTCTGGGGAAGCCAGATTCACTTAACAACTGCAGTGTGATTCACTGAACAAGCAAGAAAGATGCTAAAATAGGGCAAAACTCACTCAACAACTGTCTCCCTTAGCAATAGAAATTTTGGGCTCAATTGTAGTCAAGGACTACTTGTAATATCCGGGGTTGGTGAAGTGTGAAATTGTTGTGGTTAGCCGACAGCAGGTGCAGACAGCTGAGGAGAGCGAGGACTCATGAGAGGCCAGGAACATTAGGGAGTGGACTGCTGCCTTCAGAGATTGTGAGGGCTGGCAGCAGTGATGAGGAGGTTCCTGAGGAGCCTGTGCCAAGCACGCATGCGCGCAGGATTGCTCGGAGGAAAGAGCAGCTACAACAGCATGGCTGACTCGGGAGTAAGGCAGCAAGGTAATGGCCCCCTCCTTCAAGAAGATAAAAGCCAGCTGTGAAATGAACGTACTTTGCAGAAGGCAAAGGCGTTTTGAAACTCCAGCCTCGTGGACATTCCAGTATCCTGAGTTTGTGTTTGAAGATTCTTGTATTGCAAATTATTTCTTGTCTGTTATCTTTTGGCAAGACTCGCGCCGTTTGGCCAGGCTTGCGCTTATCACAGCTAATTATTCTGTAAAAACATTGCAAGGTTTTCTGTTTCTTTTGGATTGTGTTTGATTTGTTGGAAAAGGGCGTGAGTCAGATCAGAAGTCATTCTCAGAAATTGAACAAGTTGAGCACCTTGAAGTGGGTAGCTATTAGACGCTGCAACTGTTGTCCACCATGACTTGCTCGGTAGGATGAGGAGTAATAATAGTCTTTCTGGGCACAATCATACAACACTTCTCAAACTAGGAGGCCAGATCAGGAGCTCTTCAGGCTGCAACAGACATCTTTAACAGAATAACAGAGTTGGAAGGGATCTTGGAGATCTTCTAGTCCTGCTCAGGCAGGAAACCTTATACCATTTCAGACAAAAAGTTGTCCAATCTCTTCTTAAAACCATCCAGTGTTGGAAGACCCACAACTTCTAGAGGTGTTCCACTGATTCATTGTTCTAACTATCAGGAAATTTCTCCTTAATTTTAAGTTGGCTCTCTCCTTGATTGGTTTCCACCCATTGCTTCTTGTCCTGCCTTCTGGTGCTTTGGGTAATAGCTTGACTCCCTCTTCTTTCAGGCAGCTCATCAGATATTGAAACACTGCTATCATGTCACCCCTAGTCCTTCTTTCCACTAGACTGGATGTACCCAGTTCCTGCAATGGTTCTTTATACGTTTTAGCCTCCAGTCTCCTAATCATCTTTGTTGCTCTTCTCTGCCCTCTTTCCAGAGTCTCAACATCTTTTTTACATTGTTTACTAGATGCAGTATTCCAAGTGTGGTGTTTATACCAAGGCATTATAAAGTATAAAATAGCAATAGCACTTAAGACTAATATACCGCTTTACGGTGCTTTACAGCCCTCTCTAAGCAGTTTACAGAGTCAGCCTATTGCCCCCAACAATCTGGGTCCTCATTTTACCGACCGTGGAAGGATGGAAGGCTGAGTCAACCTTGAGCTTGGTGGGATTTGAACGACCAAATTGCTAGAACCTGGCAGTCAGCAGAAGTAGCTTGCAGTATTACATTCTAACCACAAGAGTCCTATATTTACAAATGCCCTGGAGCACATCAGGAACTTTTAAGAAAAACCAGAGAAGCAAACTTAAAAACTACTCCCATCTTCCAACTGGGCATAAGAGTGACAAATATTTCTCACTTGTCCTGCTGAAGAGATTATTTCCTCTTTTTTCCAGGTTCGAGACCAGGAGTTTCCCTATCGGCGTAACTTGGCGAGGGTCATTGTAAATGTGGAGGATTCCAATGATCACAGCCCTTACTTCACTAGTCCTCTGTACGAAGCCTCTGTGTTCGAATCAGCTGCCATCGGATCTGCAGTTTTGCAGGTCACTGCCCTGGACAAAGATAAAGGAGAGAACGCAGAGTTGATGTATACCATCGAAGCAGGTTAGCAAAGCCGAGAATTAAATAACCTCTAAGACTTTTTAATGCTTAATAGCAGGGGTGTCAAACTCAAGGCCTACGGGGTGCTTAGACCTGGCCCGTGGGGCCACCCTGATAACAGAGAAGAAGTGCCCCATGGTTTCTCTGGGAGGGCTGTGTGCGGCCATCATGAGCTCCATTTTTTTCTGGCAGAGGGTTTCAGGAGGCCGTTGCAGCCAGAAACGGAGCTCGGGAGCCCATTTTTGCTAGCAGAGCAATCGGGCCACCACAGGCACCCCCGACACAAGTGACATCGAGTTAGCCACAACCACCAAGGCCCCTCGCGGTCAAACACAACCTTGATGCGGCCCTCAATGAAATCGAGTTTGACACCCCTGCTCAAACGTTCAACGTACGTGATGCAATGCAATTGTTTTAACTGCAGTTTAAAGTTTGGAGAAATGTAACCTCAAAAGAAGGTAGGTGTGGTCAGTTCCCATAGAAATCAATGGGTTGCAATAAAAATTAATTAGTCCTAATAATGAGCTCATTGGCTTTTATCTATTTTGCCCTCAAGACAGGAAGCTTTATTAAGCAGCTGCCTTTATTTGCCTTGTGATGCATATTATCCTTCTAAAAACTGTTCATGTTATTTTTGTTGTGGATGTGGTTGCCTTTCTAAAGCTCATTTGCTAAGAAAGACACCATCTGGAATGCAATGGGATTTTCAGATGAAACTATTTTATGAGTCACTTAAGAGGTGATCGATCCCAACTTGCTTCTAAAGCAACAGATAAAGAAATGGCCAGCATAGATTCAAGGCTTTTATTTATTTTCGAAATCTTGAAACAAATGGACAATCTTCTCGGCCCTTTGATTCCTAAGCCCATCTACATTGAATGGACAGACAGACAGACATATATACTGTGCACGACTGTGGGGATTCCTCCGAAATTTTATGGCTGTTCTGGTAACTTGGGATCTTAAAGAGAATCGTCACAGGAGAATAGACTTCGAATTGCTGTATTTCCCTGAAAATAAAACCCTGTCTTACATTATTTTGTGACCAAAACAAGGCACCTGGTTTGATTTTTTGGGGCGGGGGGTAGTTGTCCACTGACTCACCTCACTTGCGTGTGTTGTCCCCGGCCTTCTTTTCACTGTCAGAGGCCTTCAAGAACTTCTTCGGCCAGCAAGACTTTCCTGAAGGCCTCTGCAACTGATAACAGAGCTCCAAATCGATCCGGAGCTCTGTTATCAGCTCCAGAGGTCTTCAGATAAGCCCTGCTGGCTGCAGAAGAAATGGGCTGAGGTGTGCAAGGCCTGGCCTCAACTGTCTGAAGGTAAGTAGTAAGGCAGCTCAACCCCTCCTCAGCCCCACCCTAGCTTAATTTTTACTTGTGTACCCTGGAGTGGATGGAGTCTTAATTAGAACTTATTTTGGGGGGTAGGGCTTATATTGGGTATATGTGTAAAAATCAAGCTAGGACTTACTTTCGGAGTAAGTTGTATTTTCAGGGAAATACGGTATGATCAGGTGGCATGGAATTCTTATTACTTGATACTACAGGGAGTCCTTGACTTAAAACGGCTCATTTAGTGACCGTTCAAAGTTAACAACAGCACTGAAAAGTGACTCATGACCATTTTTCACACTTACAACCATTGCAGCTTTTCCATGTTCATGGGATTAAAATTCAGACCCCCGGCATCTGACTCACATTTTATGACAATTGCAGTGATTGTGACCTTCTGACAAGCAAAGTCAATGAGGAAGCCAGGTTCACTTAACGACCGTGTTCCTGACTTAACCCCTGCAGTGAGTCACTAAAAAACTGCAGCAACAAAGTTCGTAGAATGGGGGGGCAAAACTCCCTTAACAACTGTCTCATTTAGCAACAGAAAATTTGGGCTCAGTTTTGGTTGTAAGTCGAAGACTGCTTACATTAGATCAGGGGTGTCAAACCACATCCGGCCCGCAGGGTGCTTAAACTTGACCCGTGGGTCCGACCTGGAAATAGCAAAGGACTGGCCCACGGTGCCTCTGGCAGCCCAAATGGGATGGGGGTGTGTGTGCATGGCACCCTTGCAGACGGCTTTTGAGCTGGACAGCCCCCTGCAGCACTTTGCCAGCCAAAATGGGGTGTGGTGTGGGGTGCCCCGTTTTGGCCGACAAAGTGCTGCAGGGGGGGCATCCAGGCCGAAAACAGTCTGCACGGGGATCACACACAGGGCCCCCATTTTCACCAGCAAGTGTTGCAGGAGGCGTCCGTCCCATCTCCCCCTCAACCTCCGGCCAGCCCGCAAAGGAGAACTACAATGCTGATCCAGCCCTCAAAGAAATCCAGTTTGACACCGCCCCTGTATTAGATGATCCCAGGTTGAGCTGCTATTACATTCCGAATTTCATTAAAGGCATTTTTAAGATCAGCTTACAAGACACAGAAAACGGGAGCTAAGCTTAGCAAGGACTGTTTTATCATTTCCTACCTGGGTACTTCCATCTTTCAGTTTCTTCCTCCAAGCAATTGGTCCTGTGTTGTATATATTTCCCAGGCAGTTTGGAGAAAAGGAGTCCGTATGGGTGGACAACAGATGAAAGAGAATTTCCCCAAAATATACTCCTGGGGGTGATTTGGGTATTTGCTAGTGGTTCCATGGTGATGAATTAAGTGTATCTAACTTTCTCACTTGGAAAAAAAAATGCAATGGTTATGTTTTCTTTTCTCGGCAAATGTGGTGTCCAAGGGGATCTATTTTGTTTTTATTAACTTTTTTAAAGTTTGGTGTGCTACAGTGATATTACTCTGGGCTCTCTGAAAAATAGAGACTTGTTTCCTGGGGATTTCTTGAAACAAACATGTGAAGACTTTGCTCTTGTGAGCTAAAAGTCGCTAAGTAATCTTCATGGGACAGTTATTAAGTAAACCCATAGCTGGCTTCAAGAACCAGCACTCACCAAAGATTCATCCAGCTAAAAGAACTTCATGAATGACTTTGATGATGAGATGATTTGAATAGGATATCTACAATTCCAAAAGACAAAAAAAAAATATGAAAACATTGTTTTGATGAATTGGAAAGACAGGCTGAAAAACAGAGTGAGGCGTGTCCGCTGCAGATTTTTTTTCACATAGGAAATTAAAATCAAATGTGTTTCACAGGAAGAAATATCTGACTTGGTAAAAAAAATGTCTGGAAAAGAATATTGGACTCCTGATTGATCATGGGGTGCAATTCTACAAAGCCTCCATGGAATGTTAATTTTTTTTAAGGTACCAGTAGTAGCATTGTACTCAATGCTGGCCAGGTCTCACCTCTAGTACAGGGATTGAACTTTAAAAATATTCCAGGAAAATAGAGCAGGTTCAAAAGACGAGGACAAGATCAGAAGATTGAAAGAATAGAATGAAATAGGGATAGAACAGAACAGAACGGGACCTTGGAGGTCTTCTAGTCCAACCCCCTGCTTAGGCAGGAAACCCTACACCATTTCAGACAAATGGTTGTCTAATCTCTTCTTAAAAACTTCCAGTGGTGGAGCATTCACAACTTCTGGAGGCAAGTTGTTCCACTGATTAATTGTTCTAACTGTCAGAAAATTTCTCCTTAGTTCTAAGTTGCTTCTCTCCTTGATTAGTTTCCATCTGTTGCTTCCTGTCCTGCCTTCAGGTGCTTTGGAGAATAGCTTGACTCCCTCTTCCTTGTGGCAGCCCCTGAGATATTGAAACATTGCTATCATGTCACCCCTAGTCGTTCTTTTCATTAAACTAGACATACCTAATTCCAGAAACGATTCTTTATATGTTTAAGAGAAGCCAGAGATACTAGGAATAGATTAGAACGCTAGGGATGATATTGTCAGGCCAAAGAATCAGGATACACATTAAGTTCTAGTTAAGCTGATTTATTGTTTATGCCTACACAAAAGAATCTAGTCAACTATGGCCAACACTAAATTGGCACTACATAAGAGTTAACAGAATTCAAGGAGGTTGGACCATTTGTGGGAACTTAATGACTCCAGACTGGAACCTCTCTTGACTCCGACACCCTCAGGCTGTGTCTGGCCTTCTACTACAAATATTTGTATATGATCTGTGAAGGAAATGGGCAGTTTATAAATCTGATAAATAAAATAAAAAAAATAGCTCTCTTCAAATCACATAAGATCATGCTTATCAAAAAAGATCAATCTCCAGAGTAAAGGACAGAAATTGCAGAGAACAGATAACTGGTAGAAATTTAGGAAATGTTCCTAACATTAAGACACAGGAATCGTTAGACGAAGTGGTGAGCTGTGTTCCACTATATGTGTTTAGTAAAAGGCTGAACAGTCATCTGTCAGTCAGATGCCTGCAATCAACCGGGAAAGCCTCTTCAATCTCACCAGCTCTTCCAACTCATGATTCTGCAGATCATGAACCATGATTCTGTAAATTGTGGTCCAATTATATTGCACACTTGGCCCTTCCTAGGAATTCTAGACCAGGAGTGTCCAACCTTGGCAACTTTAAGATTTGTAGATTTCAACTCCCAGAATTCACTAGTCAACATGAAGTCTACAAGTCTTGAAGTTGCCAAGGTTGGACACACCTGATCTAGACAACAATATCTCAGCACTTCAAGTAACATGATAGCATTACAGAATTTGTTTGGGTTTTTTTAATTAAGAACAGAGTTATCTTCTCTCCATTTTGTACAATTTAGAAAAATTCCCTGGTCTGATGCGCAAAAGTTTTAAAACATTTCTTTTAAAATAAAATCAGTAGGAATTCAGTTCTTGGCTGCATAAACAGAGGGATAAAATCAAGATCACGTGAAGTATTAGTACCATTTTATAATACGTTGGTAAGGCACTTGGAATACTGCATTCAGTTTTGGTCGCCACGATGTAAAAAAGATGTTGAGACTCTAGAACAAGGGTCTTCAAACTTGGCAAGTTTAAGACTTATGGACTTCAGCTCTCAGAATTCCTGAGCTAACATGACTGGAGGAAGAATTTTGGGAGTTGAAGTCCACAACTCTTAAAGCTGTCAAGTTTGCAGACCCCTGCCCTAGGAAGAGTGCAGAGAAGAGCAACAAAGATGATTAGGGGACTGGAGGCTAAAACATATGAAGAATGGTTGCAAGAATTAGGTATGTCTAGTTTAATGAAAAGAAGGACTAGGGGAGACATAATTACAGTGTTCCAATATCTCAGGAGCTGCCACAAAGAAGAGAGAGTCAAGCTGTTCTCCAAAGCACCAGAAGGCAGGACAAGAAGCAACGGGTGGAAACTAATCAAGGAGAGAAGCAACCTAGAACTAAGGAGAAATTTCCTGATAGTAAGAAGAATTAAGCAGTGGAACCATTTGCCTCCAGAAGTTGTGAATGCTCCAACACTGGAAGTTTTTAAAAAGATGTTGGATAACCATTTGTCTGAAGTGGTGTAGGGTTTCCTGCCCAGGCAGGGGGTGGACTAGAAGACCTCCAAGGTCCCTTCCAACTCTGTTATTCTATTCTATTTTCTTCTATTTTCGATTCTATTTTCTTTTCTGTTTTCTATGTTTGCATGGTTTAGACATTTCTTTCAAAAGGAAACAAAGAACTAGAGCAGCCTCTACCTTGCTCCATAATTCCCAGGGGGTTGGAATTACAGACATTTAAACTCACAGTTCCTCTGCCCTCTTATCTCTTGAGAGGGGTCTCCCCACCCCACCCTAACCCCAACCCTGCTGCTTGGCAGCTGAGCGCTTTGTAGCCAAACGACTGGCTCGTCTCCGTGGTGAATGGTCAGAGCGATGCCACGGCATCGGTTCAGCAGGATAGAAAGAAAGAATAAAACGCTCCTAATAATGAAGGAGGGGAGGCCTAGGACGGCAGCCAGGAAAGTGGGATGGTGTGAAGCTTTCCTGCAGCACAATTGTGCCGAAGCTTGAAAACCTTTTAATGAGACTTTATCTCTCCATGACTATCACTGGTTCTTTTTTCATCCCTCTCTCTGCCAGCAATTTGAAGCTTCAAGCCTCTGTTTCAGATAAAAATGTGAAATCCCACTGTTTCATTATCCACAGATGCTCCTGGATGCGCTGTAATATAGCTTTTTGAGGCCGCCATTTCTCTGATCCATGAAAGAATCTGCAGAGGGGATGTTAATTTTAACAGATGTGTTCAGGCTATAGACATGGCTTTTTATATATATATATATTATTTTACTTCCCAGGGCATTCAGTTAACATGAACACTGCACTGGATAATAGAAACCAATAATTTCACACTTAATAACCTCTAAGAGGCCCCATTTTTTATAAACACCAGATTCTGTGGGGAAGCTCAAACGTCTTATCTGAGAAATACTATACACTCAGCACACTAGTCCCATTGACTAGGTGGATCGTACATTCTCCCTTTTAACAGAACCCATTGTTAACGCTTTTTAATTCATAATCCAAAAGTAATGCCTTTGAGGGGAATATAGAGGACTAATTTGTTGTAATGGCATCTGGGAATGATTGTAGAGGACAGGAGGAAGTGCTGGAGCAGAGACAATGTATTGATAATATGTTAGTTCAGAATAGCAGAGTTGGAAGGGACCTTGAAGGTCTTCTAGTCCAACCCCTTGATCATGCAGGAGACCCTAATACCATTCCGGGCAAGTGGCCTTACAGCCTCCTCTTAAAAGCCTCTGTGATGAACCACCCACAGCTTCTGAAGGCAAGCTATTCCTCTGGGGTAGTCTTCCCACTGTCAGGAAATTTCTCCTTAGTTCTAGTTTGTCTCTCTCCTTGATTAGTTTCCATCCATTGTTTCTTGTCTTGCTTTCTGGTGCTTTGGAAAATAGGTTGATCTTCTGTTCTTTGTGGCAGCCCCTCAAATATTGGAAAACTGCCAAGGTCCTTCTTTTTACTAGACCAGATAAGCCCAATTCCTAAAACATTGTTCGTATGTTTTAGCCTCCAGTCCCCTAGTCACATCTTTGTTGCTCTTTTCTGCATTATTTACAGAGTCTCTACATTTTTTAAATATGGTGATCCAAATTGGATGCAACATTCTAAGGGTGATTTTTATCAAGGCTTTATAAAGCAGTATTAACACTTCATGTGATCTTGATTCTGACCCTCGGTTAAGGCAGCCTAGGACCACGCTGGGTTTTTTTGGCTGCTGCTGCACACGGCTGGCTCATAATTAAGTGATTGTCCACTAGGACTCGAAGATCCCTCTCACGGTTACTGCTGTTGAGCCAGTTTTCACCTCATCTGTACCTTTACATTTGATTTTTCTTGCCTAAGTTTAAAATGTTAACTTTTCTCTAAATTGAATTTCATTTCAGTTAAAAAAAATAGTTGAAAAGAGGATGGGTGGTAAAAGTTTCCCAGAAGGAAAAGCTCAGTTGCTTTCAGAACAAAGGCCATTATATAAAAGATGTGCAGAAAATTCAAAGAAAAGAAATAGGGTTGTGAATTGGTAGCTTATAAATTTAAGGATTGGTTTGGTTTGATTTGGTTTGGTTTTATGGATCACACATATTATTCTCCTAATGTGATGTCAGTAGGCGCCCACTGAGTGTTCTTCAGCCTCCAATATCATAGTTTGATTATTTTTTTTGTCATGTTTAAATTTCACATTTCATTTATTTTTCCTATTTCATTCTTTCAGGGAATACCGGAAACACCTTCAGAATTGAACCAATTCTAGGCATCATCACCGTGCTGAAAGAACCAGACCTGACCACCATGAACCAGTTTGTGCTATCAGTTAAAGCGGCCGACCAGGGTTCTCCCCCATTGTCAGCTACTGCCATTGTCCGCATATCTGTGACGATGTCGGACAACTCCCACCCCAAATTCACACACAAGGAATGGCAAGCTGAAATAAATGAAAATGTTGATTTTGGGACTTCGGTTATCCAAGTCTCGGCAATCAGTCAGTCTACATTAGTGTACGAACTCAAAGATGGCAATATAGATGGAGCCTTCGTGATCAACCCTTATTCTGGAGTCATCACGAGCCAGAAGTCTCTTGATTATGAACACATTTCCTCTTATCAGCTCACAGTGCAAGCCACAAACATGGCAGGGATGGCATCAAATGCCACTGTAAACATCCAGATAGTTGATGAAAATGACAACCCACCAGTTTTTCTTTTTTCTCAATACTTAGGCAGCATCAGTGAAGCCGCCCCTATAAATAGCATTGTCCGGAGCGTGGGAAACAATCCACTTGTGATACGAGCCACAGATACAGATAGCAATCAAAATGCACTGCTCGTCTACCAGATTGTTGAGTCAACTGCCAAGAATTATTTTACAGTAGACTCCAGCACAGGTGCAATTAGAACAATTGCTGATTTGGATCACGAAACCATCGCACATTTCTACTTCCATGTTCACGTTCGAGATAGTGGCAATCCCCAGCTTACCGCAGAAAGTCCCGTGGAAGTTACCATTGATGTAACGGATGTCAATGATAATCCTCCAGTGTTCAGCCAGGCAATGTTTGAAACCATCTTGCTTTTACCAACTTACGTGGGAGTGGAGGTTCTTCAAGTCAAGGCCATGGACCCAGATTTAGAAGTCCCATCTGAACTGACTTACAGCCTGATTGAAGGGAACACAGAATATTTTCTTGTTGATTCAATTTCTGGGGTGTTAACCATAAAAAACAACAGCCTTTCCAAAGACCATTACATGCTGATCGTTAAAGTATCCGATGGGAAATTTTATAGTAGTGCTATAGTGACAATAATGGTCAAGGAAGCCATGGATAGCGGTCTCCACTTCACTCAAGGCCATTATTCCACATCAATCTTGGAGAACAGCACCAATGTCACCAAGGTAGCAGTGGTCAATGCGATTGGAAACCGTCTCAACGAGCCCTTGAAGTATAGCATATTAAACCCAGGGAACAAATTCAAGATCAAACCTACTTTAGGCCTTATTCAAACTGTTGGCCTCCCATTTGACAGAGAAGAACAGGAATTATATGAATTGGTGGTGGAGGCTAGTCGTGAGGTGGACCATCTGCGGGTGGCCAGAGTGGTTGTCCGAGTCCTCATTGAAGACATCAATGACAATGCTCCAGTATTTGTTGGACTTCCATACTATGCTGCTGTTCAGGTTGAGGCTGACCCTGGCACTCTGATATACCGAGTGAGGGCCATTGATAAAGACAAGGGTGCAAATGGAGATGTATCTTACCTACTGAAGGAGGACTATGGCCACTTTGAAATCGACAGTCGTAGTGGGAGTATCACCTTGAAAGCACCCTTTAACTCCGACTTATCCAATATAGAATATTTAATTATAGTCATAGCTAAAGATGGAGGTGACCCATCGCTGTCTGCTTCTGTGGAACTGCCCATCACCATTGTTAATAAGGCCATGCCCGTCTTTGACAAGCCCTTCTACACAGCGTCTGTCAATGAAGACATAGAAATGAACACGCCAATCCTGAGTATCAATGCTACCAGCCCAGAAGGTCAAGGTATCATTTACATAATAGTAGACGGGGATCCTTATAATCAGTTCAACATTGACTTTGACACAGGAGTCCTCAGTGTCATCAGTCCATTAGACTATGAACTCAATCCCATTTTTAAGTTGACGGTGAGAGCCAGTGATGCTCTTACTGGCGCCCGAGCTGAAGTTACAGTGGACTTAATTATCAAGGATGTCAATGACAATGCTCCAGTGTTTGACCACTTTGCTTATAACGCCACCTTAACCGAAGCCTCCTTGATTGGGACTCCGGTCTTGCAGGTCATTGCTACTGATGCAGATTCCGACAATAACAAAATCATCCAGTATCAGATAGTCCAGGACACTTTCAATAGCACGGATTATTTCCATATCGATGGGACAAGTGGACTGATCCTAACTGCCCGCTTGTTGGACCATGAAGTGATGCAGCAATGCAGCTTAAAAGTACGGGCCACCGATAATGGATTCCCACCTCTAAGCAGTGAAGTTCTTGTTAACATCTACGTGACCGATATGAATGACAACCCTCCTATTTTTAATCAGTTGATATATGAATCCTACGTCAGTGAATTAGCTCCTCGGGGCCATTTTGTGACCTGCGTCCAGGCTTCTGATGCAGACAGCTCCGATTTTGACCGATTGGAGTACAGCATCTTGTCTGGAAATGACCGTACCAGTTTTGTGATGGATACCAAGAGCGGCGTCATCACACTCTCAAATCATCGGAAGCAGAGAATGGAGTCAATGTACAGCTTGAACGTTTCTGTTTCTGATGGTTTGTTTACCAGCACTGCTCAAGTGCATATCCAGATTCTTGGAGCTAATTTGTACAGCCCTGTATTCACACAAAGTATTTATGTGGCAGAAGTCAGAGAAAACGCTGTCCCGGGAACCAGGGTGATCCACGTAAAAGCAACCGATGGAGATTTGGGCATCTATGGTCAGATCAGTTACTCCATCATCAATGACTTTGCCAAAGACAGATTTGTCATTGACAACAAAGGTCAGATCCTCACCACAGAGAAACTCGATAGGGAACTCCCTTTAGAAGGTGACATCACTATATTTTTAAGAGCTCTCGATGGTGGAGGGAGGAGCACCTTCTGCACGGTCCGAGTCATAGTGGTGGATGAGAATGACAACGCCCCACAGTTCATGACCGTGGAGTATAGAGCAAGTGTCAAAGCAGATGTTGGGAAAGGTCACTTAGTCACCCAGGTCCAAGCTCTTGATCCTGATGATGGTGCCAATGCTAGGATTGTCTACTCGCTGTATAGCGAAGCCTCTGTTTCTGTTGCGGATCTCCTGGAAATTGACCCAGACAATGGGTGGATGGTAACCAAGGGGAACTTCAACCAGCTGAAAAATACGGTGCTATCTTTTTTTGTCAAAGCGGTTGACGGTGGCATTCCTGTACGGCATTCCCTTATCCCTGTGTACATACATGTTTTACCTCCAGAAACCATCTTGCCTTCATTTTCTCAACCTCAGTATTCCTTTACAGTATCAGAAGATGCCCTCATAGGGAGCACAATCGATGCGCTTCATGTGTTGCCTAACCAAGGCGTCGTCTACAGCACAGTCAACGGCGAATTGACCGGAAACAACAAGGATGGAGTTTTCATTATAGAGCAAGACACGGGCATTATAAAACTGGACAAGAGGCTTGACCATGAGGCAGACCCTGCATTTCATTTTAAAGTGGCTGCAACCCTGCAGCTTGAAAAGGTGGACATTGTGGTAATCGTGGACGTGGATATTAAAGTTCTAGATATTAACGACAACAAGCCAATTTTTGAGGCAGCCAAGTATGACACAATCATAATGGAGGGAATGCCAATAGGGACTAAACTTGTACAAGTCAAAGCAACCGACGCAGATTCGGGGGCCAACGGACAAGTCACCTATTCTCTCTTAACAGAACTGGATATTGACCGGATCTCGGAGGTGTTCACCATTGACGGCAACAGTGGCTGGATCAGCACCTTGAAAGATTTAGACCATGAGACAGATCCCACTTTTGCCTTCACGGTGGTTTCTTCTGACCTGGGAGAAGCCCTCTCCCTTTCCTCCACCACCTTAATCTCCGTCACCGTGACAGACATCAACGACAATGCTCCCGTATTCCAGCAGGAGATGTACAGAGGGTCTGTGAAAGAGAGTGACCCTCCAGGAGAAGTCGTGGCTGTCCTTAGCACTTGGGATGAAGATACATCTGACATCAACCATCAAATTAGCTACCATATTACAGGTAAGGTTCCTTTCAAAGCTAGTGTTGTAAGAAGGGAGCGTGCTGGGGCAGCTTAATCTTTACCTGCAGATGACCCAAAGGTGCTGTTTCAAAAAGCAACTGGGCTTTATTTTTTCCTTGAAGACATCAAGGAAAAAACAAAGTCCAGTTGCCTTTTCAAAAAGCAACTTTGGGACAACCATGTCCTGGATGATTGAGAGTCTCCGTAGACAATAATAGAGGTAGTTGCTCTGCAAAATAAGCTGACTTTGATCAAGATTGTGGCTGCACAAAAATGGTGGACGCTCCCATCCCTGAATGAGTTCTTTCCTTCATTCTCCTTTTGCTGAAGAATTATTGCAGGATTGCTTCTCTTATTTGTAACTTAATATACACATACTTCGTGATATACCAAGTTGATTGCAAACCAGAATTGTGTTATCTGGCTTCCAGATGTCGGTAGTCTTTTGTAACCGAGAGATGCAACCTAGATAAGAATTTTTACTGTGTGTCTGTGGGAAGTATGACAGGGCAGCAAGTAATATTAGACGCATCACGATGTTGCCGTGCAAATTTTGCAGACTACACACCCAGGCACACAGCATCATTTTGTCATTGTGGCAGCTTTAGCCAGAGACATATATCTATGTTTAGCTTTGTCATCCAGGTCTTTGATGCAGGTGTTTTTGGACACCCTTATGCAACTCCCGCTTTGGAAGACCCGTGTGTGCATGCTTGCCATGGTGGCGCAGTGGTTAGAATGCAGTACTGCAGGCTACTTATGCTGGCTGCCGGCTGCCAGCTGCCAGCAGTTTGGAAGTTCGATTCTCACGGGCTCAAGGTTGATTCAGCTGTCCATCCTTCCGAAGTCAGCAAAATGACAAGCCAAATTGTGGGGAGCAATATGCTGATTCTGCAAACGACTTAGAGAGGGCTGTGAAGTGGTATATAAGTCTGTGTGCCATTGCTGTTACTTGCTCAGCCACAACATCACTGTGCGACCTTGAGTAAGTAAAGCTGACCTGTTCCATCAGACTTTCAACCAAGGTTTCTTCCTGCAGTCCTTGGAAAAGTTGAGTATTAACCCTTCAAACTAGAAATCTGTGATGAACTTCCGATTTGTGTGACCCGGGGTTTTCATCAACCTTTTGATGGCTGAGGATTGAACAAAATATTTCCGGGGTAAATGATGTGGAGTAGCGGGCTTATGATATTTTTCAGACAGTTGAATTAAGGCAAAACGTTTTTCCCAAGCATTTTCTTGCCTTGTTAAAAATCTGTATTAAGACCTGTTTCTTTTCATGTATCTTCCTTCTCCCAATCAGTAAATCATCATCATTTTTAATGATCCCATAATCCCTTGAAGGGTGGAGTCTAGGCAACTGAACAGAGCTACATAGTGTTTAATGGCTGGATGCCCTTCCTGTCGCCAATGTGGAGTTTTGCTCAACAGATACATTCTCATTGTACCCAGAGAGAGAAATATCTGTCTCTACCTAGAATCAAACTCACAGCCTCTTGATTGTGAGGCGAGATCTCCACCTCTAGGCCACCGCACCACTCCTTTTCCCCATCAGTAAATGTCTTGCCAAAAATTTCCTGGTCATTAAATTCAGTTGGAGCTTCACCTGCGGGCTTCCAAAAAAATAATAATAATAATAAATTGGACACCAAAGACCTTAGCTTGCTGCTTTCTTCCTCCTAAGCACAATCTAATCTTCCTCATCAGCAGTTCCCAAAAGTCAAGCCATTTTCCTATCTCATGCTTCCTAAACATTTCTTGTCGCTTTTTAATCCTCTAGATAACCAGGCACCTTCCAGTTCTTTGTTTTGCGTTCAGCCAATTTCTTCTTAACACCAGATACAGTATTATCTTGCCCACCACCCACCACCTGCCTTATGACATTTATAAGGGGGGGAGGAGAGAGGAAAAAAAAGGGCCAGCTACTACTAAATCCCTTGAGAATTCGTTGGCCTTTGCCCATCCAACTGCATTAATAGAAAGGGGGAAAGGAAGAAAAAAAAATGACAGGTGCCATTCAGCTAACGCTTTTCCAGTGGAACAGGATTGCCCTTACAGATGGCCATTGAAGTGAATGGGATGGCTTCACTTCCACAGCCTGGAAGAAGATAAATAGGAGTTGTCAGACTGGCGTTCCCTGTTTATTCTAAAATGCTGTTTCCAAAATTCAGCAGTGTTTGTGCACCCAGAGCAAAGGATGATAAAGGCTGTGTCATACAGCTTTTCCAAGATGGATGGAAAACATCCCTATCCCACTGAAACATCTGCTCGCCCTCATTAAACAGGGACCATTTCATGCCAAGCTCGAGCCATGCGGTGCATTTAGATGCAAACCTCATGACATGTTTTTCTTACTAGGGAGTAGTAAGCCTGCCCTCCTTTTACTCCCGGTTGCAATTTTTAAAAAGGGCATTGATTTCCATTCCACGCACGTAGCAGATGCGTGAAGCAATAAATGCGTGGGTAGGTGATCCTCGGCTTGCGACCACAGTGCAGCCTCAAATTTCTGTTGGTTAAGCGAGACAGTTGTTCAGTGAGCTTCGCCCCATTTTACGACCTGTCTCGCCACCACTGTCAAGTGAATCACTTGCAGACGTGTTTCACACGGTGTCAACTCGTAAAACATTTTGTACACCCGTTTTATAGTTGACAACAGAAAGAAAGGGGGGGAGTTACAAAGAGCAGGCAACAGGGTGAAATCGAAAGTACCTTCCATTCATATTTTCTTCTAAGACTGATTAGATGGCTGAAGCTTCTGCCATGAAAAAAATCTAATTGGAGAGCATGATTGATGACTCTTGGCTATGGATGTGTTTCATTGGATGATACACTGAAAAGGGTCGGGGGAAAAGCAGGATCAAGGGTGACAGTGAATTATGCATCTCAGAGTTGGCTACGCCCAGGTTAGTGCTGGACGGAGAATGTTACCTTCAAATAAATCCTCTTTAGTTTTGGGAGTGTGGCTCAAGGCTCATGATTTAATTAGAGTAACTGCCGGAACCCTGACACGCGGTTCTTGAGTAAATCTGGCTTCCCCCTTGAGTTTGCTTGTCAGGAGGTCGCAAAAAGTGATCATGTGACTCCCTAGGTTTCTACAACCGTCATAAGTATGAACCAATTGGCAAGCATCCAGAGTTCGACCAAGAGAATCCATGGGGATTCTGGAACAGTCATTTAAGTCTGAAAAGCAGTCATAAGTCACTTTCAGTTCTGCTGTAACTTCGGATGGTCACTCAGTGAAGTGTTGTAAATTGAGGACCGCCTGTACCCTTCTGTGAACAAACCAACTCTTGAAAGCACACAAGTAGGGCTTCTCAGTACTCTAGATCAGGAGTCCCCAAGTCCATGGACTGGCACCAGTCTGCGGCATGCCAGAAACTGGGCCATGCAAACAAGCGAAGCCCCATCTGCGGGATGCAGGCAGCACACGAAACTACACCACCACCCCTCTTGTCCATGGAAAAACCTCTGTCCACAGAACCGGTCCCTGGTGCCCCAAAAGTGGCTGCTCTAAATATCTGGAGCTCTCAGAAGTCCTATAGAGTCTAAAGATATTTTCCTTCTGAGTAAAGAGGCAGAGAATTAGAATAGAATAACAGAGTTGGAAAGGGACCTTGGAGGTCTTCTAGTCCAACCCCCTGCTTAGGCAGGAAACCCTACACCATTTCAGACAAATGGTTGTCTAATCTCTTCTTAAAAACTTCCAGTATTGGAGCATTTACAACTTCTGGAGGCAAGTTGTTCCATTGGTTAACTGTTCTAACTGTCAGGAAATTTCTACTTAGTTCTAAGTTGCTTCTCTCTTTGATTAGTTTCCACCCATCGCTTCTTGTCCTGCCCTCAGGTGCTTTGGAGAATAGCTTGATTCCCTCTTCTTTGTGGCAGCCCCTGAGGTATTGGAACACTATTATCATGTCATCCTTAGTCCTCCTTTTCATCAAACTAGACATACCCAATTCCAGCAACCGTTCTTCATACATTTTAATTTGAGGACAAATCTAATTTAAACAGCTTGTTAGGACTTCTAGTCTAACTCCTTTCATTGCTGCTAATTCAGATTTACACTGACGGTGTTACAGTTGTTAAAGCGATTAGAGGAGGAACTCCGAACAACAACGCACATTCAAGATACTGCCTTCCTCAAGGGCATTGATTCATTCAGGTCTATTTTTGTTGTTCTCCTCGGCATAGGAGAACCTTATTCAGTGTGAAAGTGAGATCTTTCCAGGCTTCCAAAGTTCTCTCTCTCTCTCTCTCTCTCTCTCTCTCTCTCTCTCTCTCTCTCT